GAATACTCGACTGCAGCAGTGCCGTCCGATTGCTGGCTGTTAGCTTTGCTCTTGGCCAGCTCCTGGTTGGCAACGGCGTCCGGCTGCTCCGGCCGCAGCTCCTCGGTGCATATGGTGCCAGCATCGACGTGATGCGGTTGCTTGGCATGCTTCTGGGCTAGTTGTTCGATCTCGTGCAGGCGCGGACCCCACAGCTCAATGTTCTCGGCCAGCACACGCTTGGCCATGATGAGGGCGTCGGCTATGTCATACGAGTTGACCGTCTGCTCCGTCAAGAGCGTATGCACGATCTCCACCTTTTGCTTGAATATGAACTGATCCTTGGTGAGTGTGGCCTTCAGCGTGGATACCAATGGTGAGTTCTCCTCCTCGGAGGCCAGGTCGGCAATACGCTCGTGTATGCGTGTATATACCTCGTGGCCACGTATCGAGAAGCTCTTGATCTCCTCCTGCACTTGGACGCCAATGAATGGCTTGGGCAACTCCAATTGCAGCGTCAGCGAGGGCAGCTCCGTCTCCCATACCTCAACAGGGGTGTACTGAAACTTGGCGCCAACGCCACGGAAGCTGAAGTGATGTACATAGTCCCGGTGCAGCGAATGCTCGCAGGGACTGCTCTGGTCAGTGGCTCCACTGCCAGGCTCTGTGAGCGGCCGACGTACGTAGGCGTGGCCGTGGAAGCGCAGCTCCAGATACTTGGCCAGGGAGAGCCGCTTGGCTGCATCCGAAAGCGGCACAGCAGGCGTCGTTGCATTACATTTGCTGCACCAGGAGGTGAAGTAGATGCGCTTGGGATCGGAGCGAGTCAAGTCATCGGTGAGATAGACATGAACACAGCCCAGCGAATGAACGTAGCGACGTACATGACCGAGCATGGGCAGATTGCACGACGGGCACATTGAGTTGAAGAGGCAACAGTATCGTTGCAGGAACTGCTCCAGCATGATGTCGTGCTGGCCATAGAATTTCATATCCAGCAGCATGGGCAGCTTGCAGAAGGACGAAACACCCTTCGGATTATTGTGAAAGCTGCAGAAGAGCACCGGCAAACGCTGATGATTCTGCGGATCGAGTGCGTCCTTGTACAGCTGCTCATCGGTGACCTTTTGCGGACGCTGTATAGCCTCACCCATCTTCTTCTTCTTCTTGAGCACTGCAAGAGGAATAGAGAATTAGAGAAGCAAATGGAAAATCGTGCATTCTTTGACTACTTACTCGAAGCCTTGCCTTTGGGAAAGCGACCGCCAAAGGAGCGAAACTCCGCTAGAAGCGTCTGTATTTCCCGACTTGTCACCGGCGTTGTGATCTTCATTTTGACAAAATCGTGAGCGGGCAGCAGCTGCTGTTCATTCTCCTTGTTGCCCGGTTCGGCATTGGATTTCAATGGATCCGTTTCGAGGCTGTCGGGACGTTCAACTGCGCTAGTTGATTTGGACCATTGCTTGGAGAAATACAGCTCGGCCGGGAACAGTTTGCGTAGCTTACATTTGCGACCTTGCTCTGTCTCCAGATACGGAAGGGGGAACGTCAAAAACGGACTGACGGACAGCACAGTGGAGCTGAGTGCATTGCGGAAGCGATTGTCGTAGCGCATCTCCACCTCCAAGGCTTGCACATTGATATTGGACTCAGAGCTGGACACCGACTCGATCTGCGAGGAGCGCAGTGGATCCGTGAAATCAGCCACATTCTCACTGACGGCGGCCGTGAATTTCTCGTCCGATTTGCGTTCAGTCAATGGCCGCTTGACGACAGAGCGCAACTGCGGTTCCGCCTCCAGCTGCTCCTCGGCAGCATTCTCGGTGTTGGGACTGGACTCCTTGGAGTCGAATATCGATGGCTTCGGCGCGAGCGGCTGCGCGAACTCGTCCAGCAGAAACGACATCTCGAGTCGCCAATTGTAGCGCGCAAAGAGCAGCGCCGAGGCCACCTTCTTGACGCGCGTCAGCTCCGCATTGTTGCCACCGCGCAGCAGGCAGGTGTAGCCTCGCGGACTGTTCAGATTCTCGAAGAACATTAGGGTCTTGCCGCAGGCATAGTTGCGGATGTGGAAGCTATTGCAATAGCCCAGCTTGGGCATGGTAATGTTCGACTCAATGGAGCTGACGATGTCGCACTGCAGCGTGCGCGCTAGGCGCTCCATCACGGAGAGCTTCACGTCGAGCACCAAGGTGACACCTTGGTTGCGCAGAAAGTCTTGCGCGATGCCAGCCACATTCTTGTGGACCAGCACCACGTTCGGCTCGAACTTCATGATGCGCTTGCAGACATTATGTAGGTATTCCTTCTCTTGCAGCAGTACCGTCTCAATGGTCACGAATTTGCCCTCGATGCGCTCGTAGACAATGGGGCACTGGAGCAGCAGGATGCGTGGAAAATCGACACGCGTGGCCATATCCTTGTGGGCGACATTCTTAGAGAATGCCACGCCATGCACAATCTCGGAATCCTTGCGCCTGCCACCCGGCACCTTCTTAAAGTTGACATAGTTACGTATGTCCATGAGATCGTTGGTGCAGTACTCGGGCTTGAAATGATTCGCAGCCGTCGAGCAGAGCGTTTGCAGCACTTTTCCCCACTCGGCATCCAGTTGATGGGCGCGCAACAGCTGGTCCAATAGCTGCTCCTCATGGTTGCAGTAGGATTCCAGCAGTTTTGTCGACACTGCCGTCGCGCACATATCATTCTCCAGTTCCAGATCGTGGGCTGATTGAAAGCTCAAGGAGACATCCATGGACTTGGGCGGCTGCGGTTCCACGCTGCTATCAAATTGCGGACTTATGGGATTGGGGCCTTCGTTGCCTGTGTCTAAGACAGCAGCCACGTTCGCGCCCGGACGCGACAGCTCCGCAAATCTGTAGTGCAATGTTGGATCGAACTCCGTCTGCTCGGCATCGGGCACAATTGGCTCGAGGAAGCCAGCCGCCAGCATGGCATTCAGTATGGCCACAGCCTGCACCTCGTTGGCCGACTTGTTGTTCGTATTGAGAAACTCGATGAGCAGCTGGCCACAGTTTTGGATAGGCAGTTCGCGTCGCATCTCCTCGTGCAGGGTGATCAGTGAATTGGACTGCTGCAGTATGTACTTCCGATCATCCATGGACAGCATGGTATAGTTCGCCTGCGAACTGAAACGCTCCTCCTGGTAGCCCAGCGAAGTCTTTCTGGACAGCTGCGCCCGCTGCTTCTGGGCAGAGAGAGTGCTGGGCGCATTATCCTGCACCTCGAGCTTGTTGCTCAAATGCTGCTGCAATGCCTGCATATTCTCATCCATGTTCGTGCTGGAGGACTTCAGTGAAGTGAGCACAATCTTGGAACAGTAATTGCACACCTTCAAGTCACCCTCGCAGCGTATAATACTGCCTGGTACCACCTGATTGCAGCACTTGGAGCAGAAGATCTGCCCGCAAAGCCGACAGTGGTGTTTGCGACGAAATGTGGTGAATTTTTGTGCACAATCATAGCACTCCTTGGCCTTAGAGTCGGGCATCCACAGCTTTTGCAGCTCCGTTTTCTTATAGTTGCACAAATCCTATTAAAGAGAGGTTAAATAAATAATCTGCACTACATTCATTTTCAGAGCTGCACTCACATTATTATTCTTTGAAGCAACAATACTGCTAATGTGCTTGACTACGTTGGAAACGGTGCGAACCTGATTCGCTTCACCGGGCAGCTGGTCGATACGCTCGTTGGCTTCGGCTGTCTCCTCCATTGTTGTTGTCGTGCTACTGCTCTGGGTTTCGCTGCTTTTACGCAACTTCAGCGTTGTTGGTGGCTGCGGGCGAACTGCATTCAAACTACTTGATGAGCTGGTCTGTGTGTTGTCGCTGTCCAAGTGTGAAGTGCTCCTGTCGATAATCGATGATTTGCGCTCATCGTAGAACCTGGACTTGCCCACTTGGACGCTGCTGCTCGTGCCGCTGGATATATCGTTGACTGTGTTATAGCTTTGATTATAAACATTTTGAATTTTATTAACCACTCGACCAAATAGCGAATCTGGTTTATCTTCGAAATTTCGCGCGAATTCGGTTAGTTTACTGGGCGAATGTAGATGTTGATGTATTGTATTGTTATTGCTGCTGCTATTACTATTGCTGCTGTTGCTGTGACTATTGTTGCTACTGCTACTCATGTTGGGGTGTTATAAATAAGACTTGTGGTATTACTAAAGTTGGGGACGTGCCACCACAGAGGCTGCTCGTCCTTGGTTAGATAGCTGTTATGTTGAGTTGATCGATTAAAGCGGCATCCGGTGCCAGCGAGCCAAGCGCCAAGTCTGTCCACTTTTGTTCCTGTTAATAAACGATTTTTATGACACCGGAACGTGTGGCAAATCACTTATTGGTTATTGCTCACCTGCTCGCTCAAGGTTAGATGTGAATCACCACCATCGGCTTCTGGATCGGGCAATTTCTCAATAGGTACTAGTATCTGATCGTATGGCAGTGCTTCCATGCGCCAAGCATTGTCCACAATGTCCAATAATAGATCATCAATCGGTGCCTGTGAAAATTTAGCAACGCCCACTCTTAGACTCGACGAAAAGTAAAAAGTAACTACGATAAGCTGATAACTGCGCCTAATATTTACTCAGCCATGTTAATTACGTCATTGACGGCCGGCTGTGCCCCTAATACCTATTGTTATGTCTATACTATGTATGTGTAAATATTAGGCAGATTTATCACAAAGCCACTCTCAGATAACGAAATAGCGCAACACGTTTGTGTGAAGTATTAATTATAGACAACAATACCATGACAGTTCTAGTTGCAGTTGCTCTAAGTATCGATAGAACCATAAATTAAACTTACTTGACTATCCATCACTTAAAGTAAATATTTTTACGTAGATTATCCAGCTTTACTTAATCTTCTTCTACAATTGTTTACGTTTTTTACAGGGACAGAGCGAATCGAAAAACAGCTCTGTGGCGATAGCTAGCTTAATATCGATAATAAGCAGTGATGCTAAATGATATCGCCCAACGGCTGCAAGTTCAAAAAAATGGCGCTGCCAACTTCAGAACTTTTTAAGTGCTCATGAGCTTATAGAGTTGCGGGCTTTTTACTCTGTTTACTTTTCAAATGTTTACGTTTGTCGAATGTTTTTTTATTTTATTTTATTTTTTTATTATTTTGCTTCTAAAGTGGTCACAGCGAATTGCCCAATTGCTATTGTGCTATAAATGTCAAAATTAAACTTGTTATTGAAATGTTTTTGTATGACAAACAGTTGCATCTAGAAAAGAAACTCAATTTGGGTTTATATTTAGAGAGTAGGATTACATTTATTATATAATTTAAAGAATTGTTTGAATATATTGATAAACAAAAATAAGTTTAACAAGTAAATTTAAATTCCAAAAATAGTTTTTCTTTGCCAATGGAAAATCTGTTTAAAAATTAAAATGTTGCAATGGAACTGGGAGTAAGGATGTTTTCAATCCATAAAATCCTGCACTGCAATGCACGTCCTGAAGTTGATTTTATGAGAAAATTGATTAGTGTTTTAAAGGACTTTTAAGGTTATCCTGATATAGTATCCTTGTGAGTACTTTTCTATGCTGAAAAGAAAGTTTAAATATAAATGGAATATTAATTTTTCTTTTATGTATAGAAACAATTGTGAATGGAACGACTTGTTGCTGATTTGCTGTATTCCTTCGAGTACCAATAAAAAAAAAAAGTTTTTATAAACATTGAATGACTTCATTATAATGACTGTTGACTGTTCCATTGAATAACTGACTAGATGCAGCATAGCGCTATGCAATGCGCTTTGAAACGTCAGCTATGCCGACATCTTGCCAATTCAACAATAGATGCGATAAACCGAAATATTTATAAATATAGATGATATATATATTTGAAACACAAATTAAACAACTTCAAACAATTCGTTGTTGTAATTTCGCATGAACGAAGCGTATTATTATTTTTTTTTTTTTATCAATGAAATGCTTGTTTATGTCTTCTTATTTTTGTTTCTCCTTTTTGAGTTTTTTTTTTCTTGATAGGCACTTAACAAGTTTTTTTTGTTATTCTGTGTTATTTCTGCTATGAGTGTTTGTATAGAGTGGAGTAGAAGAACAAGAGGCAGAGACAATTGTAATCCGTCAACGATGAAGACTAATTGGCAACTGATTTGAAAGCCATGAGTCGAGCTTAGCACCACACCTCGGCTCTGAGCAACGACTACGACGACAATGACGACGACGACAACGACGACGACGACGGCACGGTTAGAAGTCCAAAAGCGACAATTGAAGAAGTTTCAATTTATGTGCATATGTGTGCGTATGCGAGGGTGTGTGTGTATGTGTGTGTGATGTGCAGCTCAACAAAAGTTTAAGAAGAAGCAATACAATAAAAATGTTGTCTAAAACGGGGATTGATACCCGTTGCCAGCAGACGATACACACGCTTTAAATACCTCCTATGCAAAGTGGGGGTGCACACACACGCACACGCACACGCACACCTGTGTATATACTGTACAGACTGCCAGTACAGTGGCAGGTAGCTGACGCTGACGCTGGCTTAGTGCTCAGCGCTGAGTTTTTAGCGCAATGGCGCCTGCTCGGCATATTAATGAACTCCCTTTTGAGCAAGAGAAATATGAAATTAAAATAAAATTTTGTTGCCAACAAAAAAAAGTAAATCGAGAGAAATATAAAAACCGCCGTGTCCACGTTCGGGTCCGACAAACTGCCGCCGTATTGGTATGTGTTGTTGTTGTTGTTGCTGTTGCTTTGGTTGTTGCTGTTGTTGCAGTCAGAGCCAAAAAGTCAATTGAATGCAAGCCCCACTGGCCACTAGCCAGGGCGTTACTTCCGCTATGCATAGTCGTAACCGAAGACAGGGACTTCAATAGAGAGATAGCTGGAAAAGAAGACCCGCAGACGGATCGGACAGACCGACCAGACCTTCGCAGTAAACTGTAGCCAAGTGGAGCTCTCTGCACATTACATACATGTATTTATGGCCAATTAGATAAAACAGTCACGTGCCAAGCCAAGAGCTGCCTTCTACTATATAACTCTGCCGACTTACACTTACACACATGCATACATACATACATACATCTCTTATACATATGTATATGTATATAGTTGTTATATAAAAAGTGTGTATACCATTGAGAAATGTAGTGGGATTTGTTCTGCTATTGCAATGCATTTGGATTCGTAAGCATTTGTTTAATAATTTGAATATTATTATTCATATGAACACGTCGTCGCCTGATTCGTTTCGTTATAAAGTGCTATAAAGTCGGCAGCTCACGCGCCAATTTAGTGACCAAAAAAACAAAAAAAAAAGAAAAGAAAAAAAAAAGAGAAACAATTTGAATTCCAAAGTTTGGGACATCATCGCAATGATTCAAAGAGTTTTTTCGATTTTGGTTTTGATTTCCAAAAATCAACTTTAAAACCCTTTCTTCACATATGGCATATGGGTTTAGCTTTAACAAAGTACCGTTGTCTATTCTGCTTCTTTCTTTGTTTCTTACCCATATTTTCTATTTCCGCTTGTGAGTCAATTTGTTTTCTATTAATTCGCAGTTTTATATGCATCGGGCGAACCATCGATTTATCCATAAATACTTTTCCGTTTGACTGTTTCATAATATCTCCCTCTTTATTCATTTTCGTATTCTCTATTTCTTTTTTTTATAGTTCACCCTAATATGCCAGCACTAACTGAACAGTAGAAATTTCTCTTAATTATCAATTTCATATTTTAGGCACATATATGTAGAAATATTTTTATGAAAGGAAGGGAAACTGATTTTCAATTGAAAAAAATGGAAAGATTCCCATCAAGTTAAGCGGAAACTAGCCGGAAAAGCTGATGGGAAAAGACTTATGAATTTAGAAGACTAAATTGTGCTTAGCTTTAATATATATTTAAAATATTTGTAAAATATATTTGGTTAAATATTACTGTTAATTGAATAGAAACGAATCCAAGCCACAAATGCATTTCTGACCTAAAATAAAGAACTACATAAAATGTATTCAGTTGACATTGTTGCATAGATGTTGGTTTCAAAACTATATAACTACTTATATTTGAAAACAAATTTTATACAAGAATATTTTTAAAAAGATTGGTGGCTAATTGATGGCTAAATATCTATAAAATTTACAGTAGCAATCGAATTTGAATGGTTTGGTAATGCACACATAATAATAAAGTCAATGTGATTTAAACAAATTGGATACTAAGTAATTAAACTATTTTCAATTGTAAGCATTTAAATTTTACTGCAAATAGAAAAACAAAACACTCTTTTTATAAATAATGTTTCTCCATTTTAAAAGTATTTGACTCATCATAATTAAAATAGCAATTGTTGACTGAAGAGAAACATAGACTTTAATTTGAATTGGAGCGCCTCAATTCTCGCGCTGCCAACTGTTGCTTTTAGGCAAGCAACAGTAGTTAACGTACATCGATAGTCATCGATAGTTTTACAGCTGGTAGCTATCTGTTAATTTCAAATTGGTAATAACATTAATTAACCAAATCAATGGAAACATATAAATAAACCTGAAATAAATAATTGAAATTGACAATACATGTTAAACTGATGAAATAAAATAACAAGAGAAAATAACTTTACTTATTAACAATTTCAACTTCGTTATTACTGTTAACAACAGTTCTGGATAATGTTAACAATTCGCGCTGTTAACTCTGCTGTTTGGATTATTTGTTTTCTTAAGAAAAACTAAACAAATTTAGTTTCATCATTACTCTTAATTAATTAAGAGCTGCCAAAATATGCGTCCCAAACTAAACATAAGAGAGGAGGTGGAGCAGCTGTTTGAAAAGAAATTTCAATACCAGAAGCCGAGAAACGAGGCTTGGCTGCTGCCGGCACAAAAGCCGCTCTTCAGCGAATTCTACCAATACGAATCTCTACAAGAGCTAAAGCAACAACTCAACAATGTCAAAAGCAAATTGAATAATTATGGCGTACAAGAGTGGAGCACACATACGAATCGTCGTGATCCATCGGGCGAAATTTCCTGGCGTCTCAAAAACGAAACCAAAGCGGAGTTTGTGACTGTGAGTGGGAATTGCTGCCTAATTGAGTGATTTCGTTTTTACCAACTCTTTGCTTGACAGGTAGCTTGGTGCAAGTTCTTCGAGTGTTTGCATCGTTATCCATTGATCAAGCAACCGGAATTAAATACGCTGCATCTGTGCGAGGCTCCAGGCGCATTTATAGCCGCACTCAATCACTACCTGCATTCGACTTACACAAAGGAGGAGGTACGGAGAGATGGAATATTTCATAAGTAACTAACTCAATTAATTTCTTTCGCAGATTAATTGGCATTGGCGCTCCACTACGCTCAATCCCTACTATGAGGGCAATGGGTTGAATGAAATGATAACCGACGATCGCTTTATTTTTCACACACTCAACAATTGGCTCTTCCACCGGGACTTCACTGGGAATCTACTCAACGTGGAGAACATTGAGCATATGAGAGACGTCTGTGCCAAGGATTTGCCAGCTGGTGTGCAATTGATAACAGCCGATGGCTCCATCGATTGCTCGGCCCAGCCCGATTGCCAGGAGGAGATTGTGGCGCGTCTGCTGTTCGCTGAGATATTGAGCGCACTTCACATACTAAGTCCAAGTGGAAACTTTGTTATCAAAATGTTCACGCTCTTCGAGGCGTGCAGCGTGTCCATCATGTTCATGCTCAACTGTATATTCGAGCGGGTGCACATCTTTAAGCCGGCTACATCGAAGCGTGGCAATTCGGAAGTCTATGTGATATGCCTGAACTATCAGAAGGATACGCCAGGACTGCCGCACCTGTTGGAGGCGATGCGGTCGAGACTCGCACAGCCAAACGATACCATGGTCATGCCTCTGTTTGCCAAGTCACAGATACCCAACGATTTCCTGATGCAGCACAACATCGCCTGTCGGCTGTTCCTCAAGCTGCAGGAGGAGGCCATAGAGAGCAGCATCTATGCGTACGAGTCCAAGGATCGCTACTATCTGCGTCATTTGCATCAGCTGCGTGGCGTCGTCTCCTCCATGTACTACAATCGCTACAAGGTGCGCACGCTCCCCGAGGAGCTGTGCATTGTGCAGCAGGCAGACATCAATAAAGCACTAGGCTTCTCGGTGCCAGTTTATGGCGGCTCCTATACGGAACGGGAGCATCTGCGTCAAGGCGATGTGCTGAAGCAAATCTACTGCCTGCGGCGGGAGTTCAATCAACTGGAGAAGTGTCCCACTGGTCTGCGCAGCTACAGCCATGTCAAGCTGCATGCCAAGCAACTGCAACTGCCCCCATGTCGAGGTGCTCCAATTGGACAGCTGCTGAGCAGCCTATTTGCCTCCGAGCCGGTGTTGCTGCTCCGTTTGCGTATTCTGCAGACCTTTGACCTGGATCCGCTGTGGCAAACGGCGGCAAAGTGCTCGCTATGCGATGGCAATAATCACATAATGCGCGCATTTGATTACGCACCTGACAGCCCGGCCGATGAGTCAACATTTTATAAAGTTCAGCGACGTTTCTTTGTTGCTTTGGTTGACTCACTGTTGGAGCAACGCCCAGCGAAAATCGTATTCCAGGCATTTCTATTCCTCAGCCACTATGCGGCATCTGTGCTGTTGCTACTGGCGGAGCAAATCTACGAGGAAACTCAATTTGAAAATCAGATCATAACGTTAAGTGGCCTGTCCACGGAATCTAAAGCCCTGGAGCAGCTGCAGCAGCTACAACGTCTACTCAGAGAGGATGTGACTGACGGACTGGATACCCTGCACAGCCTGTTGCCGTTGCAGCAGTTGCACAAGAATCCATTTGCCAGTGCCCTAATCCTCTACAACAACACCGTCCTGGTCAGTTGCTATCGGCGTATGCTCGGCGAGGAAGCGTTTCCCACTCGCTTCAGTCTGGAGCAGGAGCAGGAGGCGGCAACGCCAGCTATAAACGAGACTGCGACGATCGTGTGTTAATCATGTATTTTTTGTTTATAACATAAAAATATGATCAATGATCGTTAGATTTGCTGAGTTTTACATGTTTTCTTCAACTTTTTCTCTTCTTTTTTTCTCGTTTCTTGTATTTAAAAACAATTAATGCAGATTAATTTCTACTACAAATATTTCTCGAGTTTATACAAATTTGACAAGAGCGTACATAAACTGAATTTATGCAGTTTATGCATTTCTATATATATATATTATATATATTCTCCCATCTTTTTTTTTTTTTTCTAAGCAAAAATTAGTGTAATTTTACGTGTGTGTTTGTGTGTGGGTGTTAGTGTATGCATGTGTTAGTGTGTGTAAGTTTTGTGTAGGTGTATGTGTGTGTGTTTGTGTTTTCGGTACATTTTATCATTTCTCATCCTGGTTTACAGTTTGGTTGTTTTTCATGAAGCGGTGCCGGCGCCTCACCTATCGCCTCAATTGCACTAGTCAGCCGGACGCTTTTCGCTGTGTTTCCTGGTGTAATCCTCGGCATTTTTCACAAATTTTTTTTTGTCCTTGAGAAATTCTTCGGCCAGTTCGGCGCGCAGCGGATGTTCGGGTTCGGGATCGTTGATGAGCGCTATTAGCGCCTGCACCACCTGGTCGGTGCGCGTGGCTGGCTTCCAGTTCTCCGTGCTGATGATGGGCAAACACACCTGACCCTTTTCATCGATGTTCGGATGGTAGATTTTTGTTTTGAAACTAATCTTTGGTGGCTTGAAGGGATATTCGGCCGGGAAATTGATTTCGATGCGAAAGGCGCCCTTGTTGTAGGGCGGATTGTCGGGCACAATCAGACCCGTCCAGCGCAGCAGATTATCATCGTCGGCCTTGATGTCACGAAACGATTTTAAGCTACTTTCCTGCAAATCTACGAGTTCCTTGCGCAGACGTCGCGGGGCAGTCATTTTTTCTACTTTATAATAATTGTTGCAAATCGATGGCACTTGCAGCTGATTGTTTTCCGTTTGGCTATGATGCAATAGTTTCTTGCCGTTTGTTTGCGATGTATATAGGGGAACTGTGTGCTAGTTAAGCACTCTATTTTACATTTTTTGTGGCAAGCTCTATTTAATTTGTATTCTCCTCAGAGTTTTGTAGTATTAGTACGTTCCTGCCGTTATTTAGGTAGTTATTTGATATTAAATTGCCAAGAGGCGTTATTAACGATGTGGCAGCTCTATGTAATATAACACTATAGCTTTCCTGCTTTAACACATGGTATTTCTCATACTAACAGCAACAGCTGTTAAACTCATGTTTTCACTTTACAGATATGCACCTGTTTATACATGCTTAAATTAAAACATTTTTTAGTCTATACAAATTGTAATCATTAACCATTCATTTTAATTTGTAATTATTTTGTATGATAATTCTAAGAATAAAGTATTTTTAGGCATATAGAAAAATGCCTGAAACGCATAATTGAGCAAAGTTGACAGTCACACAAAACGTAAGCATATTTTTTGTTTTTATCGATTTACCAGTTGCAATCGAAGTTTGTGCCGCAACACGTGCGCCAAATAGTTTCGTTTTGTTTTCTATTAAAAATGACTAAAAAACGGACAGTAAAACGTAAAGTTAAAGAACCTGAGCCCACAAAGGAACAACCTTCGGTTTCTGAACAGTCAGAGAATGAGGAAGATGAGGTAAGCCAAGGAAATGAATACATATGAAAGTGAGATTTCAATTTTTGTTTTTTCGTCAAGGATCTGCTACAAGCTGTAAAAGATCCTGGCGAGGACACGACAGATGATGAAGGCATAGATCAAGAATATCAGTCGGACAGCAGCGAAGATCTAGAGTTTGAAAGCGACGAAGAAGGTAACTATTTGGGCAGAAAAGTCAGCAAAGAGGCAGAAGAAGGTGAAGACGATCAAGATGAAGATGATGATGAAGACGAGGATGAGGGTGAAGATGAGGATGATGACTCTGATGATGATAGCGAGGAGAGCGATGCTGATGATGCCTCAGCAACGCCTAAAGACGATCAGCCAAGCAGCAGTAAAGCAGCTGCTGCCCAGACAAAGGAGCCCATCATTCAGATAATTCCGCGTGATCCTTCAAAACCTGAGTACGAGGAGTCGGACACTTCTGATGAGGAGGATATACGAAATACTGTGGGCAACATACCCATGCACTGGTATGATGAATACAAGCACATTGGCTACGACTGGGATGCAAAGAAAATTATAAAACCGCCAAAGGGCGATCAAATTGACGATTTCTTGCGCAAGATCGAGGATCCGAACTTCTGGCGCACTGTGAAGGACCCGATGACAGGCCAGGAAGTGTTGCTAACTGACGAGGATATAGCGCTGATCAAGCGCGTCAACTCGTCGCGCATACCAAATCCAGAACATGATGAATACGCTCCATGGATCGAGTGGTTCACCTCGGAGGTGGAGAAAATGCCCATTAAGAATGTACCGGACCACAAGCGTTCGTTCCTGCCCTCGGTATCGGAAAAGAAGAAAGTTTCCCGCATGGTGCATGCCCTTAAAATGGGTTGGATGAAGACCACCGAGGAAGTGGAACGCGAGAAGCAACAGAAACGTGGTCCCAAATTCTACATGCTGTGGGAAACAGATACGGGACGGGAGCATATGCGTCGCATACATGATCCTGTGTCGGCGCCCAAACGTGATTTGCCCGGTCATGCTGAATCGTATAATCCTCCGCCCGAGTACCTCTTCGACGAGAAGGAGACCAAGGAGTGGCTCAAGCTCAAGGATGAGCCACACAAGCGCAAGCTGCATTTCATGCCACAGAAATACAAATCCCTTCGTGCCGTTCCAGCGTATTCCCGCTATCTGCGCGAACGCTTCCTACGCTGCTTGGATCTGTATTTGTGTCCGCGTGCCAAGCGTGTCAAATTGAATATTGATGCGGAGTATCTGATACCCAAATTGCCTTCGCCACGCGATCTGCAGCCATTCCCCACAGTGGAGAGTCTGGTCTATCGCGGCCACACGGATCTGGTGCGTTCTGTGAGCGTGGAGCCGAAGGGAGAGTATTTGGTTTCCGGTTCCGATGATAAGACAGTCAAGAGTAAGTGAATCATCTGTAATTTCTGCTAAATCCTGCTCTATATATTGATATTTATTTATTTTATTTCAGTTTGGGAAATCGCCACTGGACGTTGCATTCGCACCATCGAGACTAACGATGTGGTCCGCTGCGTTGCCTGGTGTCCCAATGCCAAGTTATCCATTATTGCTGTGGCCACCGGCAGTCGCTTGCTCCTCATCAATCCTAAGGTGGGCGACAAGTTGCTGATTAAAAAAACAGACGATCTGCTGGCCGAATCGCCCAATTTGGATATCATTGAGAGTGAGCGCATCAAGACAGCTGTTCAATGGTCCAATGCGGAGCCCGACGAGCAGGAGAAGGGTGTGCGTGTGGTCATAACACACTTCAAGCCCATACGTCAGGTGACTTGGCATGGTCGCGGTGATTACCTGGCCACCGTAATGCCCGAGGGTGCCAATCGCTCAGCTCTCATACATCAGCTCTCGAAGCGACGCTCACAAATACCTTTCTCCAAGAGCAAGGGCCTTATACAATGCGTTCTCTTCCATCCAGTTAAGCCTTGCTTCTTCGTGGCAGTAAGTGTATTTCCTGCACATCGTTCCATCCCACTACATCTCATTCCTTTCCTTTACAGACTCAGCATAACATTCGCATCTATGATCTGGTAAAGCAGGAGCTGATCAAGAAGCTGTTAACCAACTCCAAGTGGATATCGGGCATGTCCATACATCCCAAAGGTGACAATCTGCTAGTGTCCACCTATGACAAGAAGATGCTCTGGTTCGATCTGGATCTATCAACCAAACCGTATCAGACAATGCGTCTGCATCGCAATGCCGTGCGCAGCGTGGCCTTCCACTTGCGCTATCCTCTGTTTGCCTCCGGCAGCGATGACCAGGCGGTCATTGTGTCACATGGCATGGTTTATAAGTGAGTGTTAGGTCGCTGCTCCTTTAAGTATGCCATGCTTATGCTCTTTTTCTCTTTTAGCGATCTGCTTCAAAATCCATTGATAGTGCCGCTAAAGAAGCTGCAGACGCACGAGAAACGCGACGAGTTTGGCGTCCTAGATGTAACTTGGCATCCGGTGCAGCCTTGGGTGTTCTCCACAGGCGCCGATTGCACAATCCGACTCTACACATAAAGCATGCATTGTTTTGCATCTTTAGTTTTTTAAGCGCTCAATTTGTAATATGAATGTTGAACGGTAGTAAACAATATATCCAATTGAATCACATTCGGTGCGTGTGTGTCTTAGTGTGTGTCGGTCCTGCTTGGTAAAGCTTGAATACAACCCTGGGTCAGTTTAGCCACTCAACACCGAACAATCACTGTTCGGCGCCTGCTCCCCGGGGGTCGTTTAACCAGAGAGAAAGAGCGGAACGTAAAAGAGCGTAAAATTACGAACTAACACCAAAAGGCAAAAACAACAATGGACTGCTGCTCATCAATACACTTACAGTTCTTTTTTATTTTTTGTTGGTACGCTCAATTTAAGCAGCAACGGCAACATCAATGCCCGAAAGCACATATCCCAACCGAATTCCAGTACAGTGTGAAGTGAGTGGGAGCCCGTGAGAGAGAGCGTGAATGAGAGCGAAAGCTTTTCGCCTATTCTCTTTTGGTTGAAAGCGTTCGCGCGCACATGTCGCGATGTGTACCAGGAATCTAATCGCCTCGCTTTCGGCTCCACCACCCGACAACAGCAACTGTATAGCTATTTGAAAGCTTTTCCTTCAATCAGCAGTCAGTCGCTAGCCTTTGCCCATGTGAAGAGAAACGTTTGCACTTGTGCTCGTGCCGTCGTCGTCGGTCGTTGTCGTCGAGGATTTTGGGTTTTGGCTATCAGAGCGCGCACACACATACACAAATACGAAATAAAAGAACCAAAAAAAAAAAAAAAAAAAAAAAAAAAATAGCAAAGAAATTCACACACGTATAGAAAAAAGCGCAGCAGTGAAAATGAAATGGCAATAATGTGGTAAAGCCAAAGCCCCCCTCCCCCTCTCAAAAAAATAAATAAAATAAAATGAAAATGAAAAATAAATAAAAATAAAATATGGCAACTGTGGAGCTATAAAAAATGCCAAAAATGTGAAAAGTATTGGAATATGAGAATCCAACAATTTAACGAATGTAATCATCAAATATAACGAGTGTCTAGCTAAATTGCACTACTTGCTCATACTCTCTCGCTTACTCCTGAAGCCTCGCGCCCTCGCCCGTTCCCCTTCCACTCCCTTGAATATAGCTCGCGTTCTCTCTCCTTGGCTCTCTTTCTCTGTGTAGAAGTTGAATCAAAGCAAAATCATTCAGAGCAAAAAGAAAGAATGAAGAAAAATACCTACACATATTTTTAGTGTGGCAAAAAATAAAATAAAATAGAAAAGAAATTGTATATATTTCGTTGCTCCTAAATACATTGAGCAGACACACAAACTAAAACAAAATCAAATCAAAATGTATGTCAGTGTGAGTGTGTGAGAGTGTGTGTGAATGTGTTTGTATAAATGTGAGCGGAAGCGCACACGATTGAAAATTGTTCAATATATATTTTAGCAAATGTAACGGCTGCCCTATGAATGTGCGTGTGTATGTGTGCTAAATGCTAAGAAACAAGCAGCAGCATCAAGTGCAATTAACAGCTCTGCCCTCTGCAGCTGCTACAACGCACAACAAACAACAACAAAAATAATAACAGGCAACAGCAGCAGCAGCCAGGCTAGCTAATCACGCATACGCCCCATCAGCCCCAACCAACGCAAGCCATAACGAAAATCAAAAAAATATATATGTACTTATTACATATACATACATGCATACGTACATATGTACGCACGCATACATAAATATTGAAGAAAATAACGGTCAGGCGACCTCGCTGCCGCCATCGTGTGCCATGTGTCTGTGTGTGTGAGTGTGTGTAATGACTAGCACAAGAAATAAATATAACAAAAAAAAATTCCAAATAAATCTCCAGCTGCTCGCTGGAACTAAGAAAATGCTAAAAGAGAAATCAAATAAAAATAAAAAGAATTTCATAACACATGATATAAAATTCCCGTTTCAATTGCTCCTAATTACAAACTAATTTCGCTGTAAATACCAACAGTAACAACAACAAGAACTACAAGAACAATAAATTAGTGCACCCACCAACAGTGCCCCCTTCAGTCCCTCCCCCTTCCACGCAGCTATTCCCGTGCCATCTGTAGCACCTGCCTACGCACGAAAGTCAGAGCGCACAACAACGGACATGTCAAGAGCTGCACAGCACATTAAATCATAATATTAAGAATAATAATAACAAATAGATATTCTAACTGTTTTCTGTGCTTCTGTTTCACCCTCCCTTTGCCAACTTCTTCGCCTGGTCAGATAAAAAATCAAAGGAACAGAAGCAGCGCCCGAAAGGCAGAACCAAATATTTCTCAGCATATTCATGTAAAAACTAAAATACAAAAAAAAAAAAAAAAAAAACAGAATAATTCGGAGAGTAGCAACAACAAGAAGAACAACAGCTACAAAAACAAAAACAACAGCCTGAGCAGCAGCAATAAAATCAAGAGCGTGCAAGGCGCGAGAGCCAAAGCACAAGCAAAAGCACTCGATAAAAAGTTATTAGCAAAAACATAAATACGTAACTTGCTCTCTGGACTCTCGCTCCCTCTCTCACTCTCTTCCGCACTCTCTCACTGTCACTGTGAAAAGGGCGCCCAACGCCAACGCGCAGCCCAACTGTTCTGCGAGCGTGTATGTGTATGTGTGTGTGGGAGAGGCAGAACGAGACGGACTGTAGGTAGGTCAGTGGCAGTGGGCGGCAGCCTAGCAGCAGCGCCAGCGCCAGCGGCAGCGGCAGCTGTGGCAGCTACGCCAACGCCAACGCCAAACGCCAACATCAACTGTAAATTGCAAAGGGCAGGTAAGTGTGGCATGTGCTTGTGTGTGTGGATGATTGAAATATATCAACGCCAATTTGTATATTCTGTCCAGCATGTCCTGCACCGTTTCCGAAATGCCCAGCGGCTGTCGCTTGCGCGGCATGAATGCATCCTCACAGAGCGCAGCTGCAGCTGCGGCCGCGGCGGCGGCCAACAATGGCAATGGGAACGGCAGCAAGGAGAGCGTCGGTGTTGGAGCTGGCAGTACCGCAGCGGGCGGTAACGGCGGCACAACGGGCACCAGCACAACGCTGCAGGGCAGCGTGAGCGCCACATCGAATGTGCTGCAGGAGTCAAATGCGCCGCTGCAACGGCCACAAACACAGAAGCCGTGTTGCTTTTGTTGGTGCTGTTGTTGTTCCTGCTCCTGGTGAGTATAATCCACACTTTAACCGTTTCCTACACACACACACTCAATATATATGTATGTATATATAATTCAACGGAATCTATTTCATTGCCGCTGCTCCACGGGTCGTCCAACCACAACAACAGGGCTAAATGGTAAGTTCCTACCTACACACATATACACTCACACACACATACATACAAATAAACATACACCTACTGAAAAACACACGCACACAGTGAATCCCACGCAGTCAGGGGCATTGCTTGCCTGCTCTCATCATTATTCGCAGCTGGCAATGCTCTGTTTGCCAGGCGAAAAGTAAAAGCTCTCTCTTCAGCTGATGCTCTTTCACTCTCACTTCCACGCTAGCCAAATGACACAAATGTTTCATTCACAATTCGCGGGAGCGCCAAAAGCTCTGAGCAGAGTATTTTTCAAAAATCACAGTCATACATAAATGACGACAAGCTGTTTCTAATGATGTTGCTATTGTTGTTGCTGTTGTTGTTTTTGCAAAAATGTTGCAAGTTTTCGTGAATGAAAATGAAAGCTGTTCCATTCCCTGGTTGGGTGGGCACATCTCCCGCGCTTTTATGTGCTTAGCTATTGTCCATCTATACGCATTTAATCATACCAAGTACTTACACGCACACGAACAAGAACACACAAGCATACGCACACACACATATTTACACATACAGTAATACATATGAACGTACGTATCTATGTTATATTGGCAAGCTGTCCAAGCGCGGTAAACAGATAACAAACTTTGATGAGTTCCTACGTAGAGAGGGTGCTTGTAATGCTTACCTGATATGAGGCAGCCAAATCTAATCGTAGATAACGTGTGGCCAGTTTACAGTTAACCACTGTGCTGGCAACAACAAATTATAGAAGAGTCAACGAAAGGCCAAGCCGTTCAAGTAACTCGCAACAGCTGTTTCTCAAGTAGCCAAAAGCTTGCACATATCGGTGATCCTTAACGCAGTTACACTAAGTAAAAGCTCTAAGCTGATTCAAAGTTGTACACGAAAAAGCTTTAAATGCAGCAAAAAGAAAAACATACAATGTTTGGCTTAACTAAGCGTTTGCTGTACGTATGGAATACATCGAATGTACTTAAAAAATACCATTAAAAAACTCATTCTGATTAATAGTAGATAATATATAGGTATTGATTATGCGAAAATCAAAATAAATATATAGATGAATTTTGTATAATGAATGTATGTATACGTAATATGTATGCATGAAGGTGATAAAGGACTTTAGTCAATAGGTTTTTGGTTTCTAGAGAAACGATTTGATAAGGTAATATGACGTTCTGCTTAGAATAGATATACAAATCATATTTTTTAGTCACTTACCATATCATATCAGATAAAAAGAAGCTTTAAATGAGAAAATGGAGCTACTATTTAAATAGATTATTATAGGAAGTATAGCTCCTATTGGAGATATCAATAGAGTGAATATGTAAAGTTCACTTCTCTAATTGTCATTCGCAATTAATATCATTATTATCATAATTCTAATAAATGGTTAATTTTCCTTTTATTTACAGTCTTGCCATCAAGAATGCGGATGAAAATGCGCCCACCAAACGTGATCTCGTTAGCGCCGATTTCCTAGATGGCGATCAGTAAGTCATATCTCTATAAGTATCAAATTTATAGATCTAACTTGTGATGTCCACTATCTTGCAGACCCACATTAGAAGAAATACGTAGTTGGGGTAAAAGCTTTGATAAACTAATGACGAATTCAAGTAAGTCACAAATATATGCATATAAGTATCTCCGGATAATATATTGAAATATTTTCCAGATGGTCGCAAAGTCTTTCGTGATTTTCTACGGAGCGAATTTAGTGAGGAGAACATACTGTTCTGGCTAGCCTGCGAGGATCTGAAGAAGGAGAACAGCCCCGAGGTGGTGGAGGAGAAGGCGCGCCTGATATATGAAGACTATATATCGATACTATCGCCGCGTGAGGTGTCGCTCGATTCGCGAGTGCGGGAGATTGTCAATCGGAATATGATTGAGCCGACGACTCGCACCTTTGACGAAGCTCAAATACAAATCTATACGCTGATGCACAGAGACTCATATCCCAGGTAAAGAATACTTATATTCTATATAAATCGAACTAAGAGAACTATATAAATATATCGATTTTCCCAGATTCCTAAACTCGCAAAAGTACAAGACACTCGCTCAACTGCAAGACAATTCGAATGCCGGCTCCAAGGCGGATAGTCCCACTTAGAATGTTATTTAACTGATTTCGGACTTTCTTTTAACTTTAGTATTCTTTATTATTTGTTTGGGATGATCCTTAGAGTCGAGGCGACAACTGTAGCCGCTGTCCTGCCGTCGTTCGCTCAGCTTTTATTTAAAAAAAAAAAAAAAAAAGAAAAGAAAAAGAAAATATATAGAAGCAATATGTCATAAAAACTTAATAAATACAACTAATTCCAAGAGCAAAGTATATATAGAGATATATATACATGTTAGCTGGCGATCGATGGAAGCAGTGGCAACAGATACGATTGACTCTAAGCGGGGTAGATACCATATATATAGGGCAACGCAACAACCAACTTAGACGATATATGATGCATTATGTGAAACCGATTCCTTCTTTACAATGTTCTAGTCGTTAACAAAACCATAAGAAAAAAAAAAAAAAAACCAAACTAGGCAATTTATATAAAAGAAATGAAATGAAAAGAAAACTTAGTTGTTAAACTTTAAAACGGGCAACGGGTTAGATAATACCAACTATATATATATAGTATATACAGCGGGCATTTCTAGGGAGAAACTTTAAGAAGCAGATATAAGTTACAAATATTTGTATAATGTATATTAGTTTGTATTGTCTGGCCCAGTCTGGTATCCAGTCTAAACAGATTGCGAAACAATTAGCATTATATTGTAATAATTGTTTATACTAAGACGTATTAATCAAATTGAAACCAAAACAAACAACTTTAACGCAAATACTTTTCCAAAAACAAAACAAAACAAAACAAAAATGCGAAAACCAAAGAAAACAAGAAAATAAGCAAACATTTTTAAAAAACGTATTATACTTAACATTTATACTTGTAACTTAATTAGTCTTGAAAAACATTTTAGATCATATAAAAACAAATCACAAATATATATATTTATATATATATATATATATATATATATATATATATATATATATATATATATATATATATATATATATATATGACTAGCAACATCGAAGCATTCTGTAAATAAAAAAAAATACAACAAAAACTTAAAAAAAAAATTAAATAATATTATTAATTAAATTAATAGCAATTTAGTTGCGATTACGTTGTGACATGGCATTGCAGTTCGTTAGTTTTCACAAGGAAATTGTTAAGGCATTTGGATTGCCTTCTGAAATATTATTATATATTATTATAAGAAATTGAATTATTATGAATTATTAATTGAATTATTATCGAAATTGTATAGGTTAAGTACTTGAAGCTGAACCACTGTACAGAAAAGTTGTTATTGTACGCGCTAGCACGGGAGTGTCGCTCTCCAAAAGATCGCTCTCTCGCTGCTCGCTGTTAGATGCGCATAGGTGCGCTCTCTACTGTGCAAGCTGCGCTTGCGTTCATGTTAAATTTAATAAATTCAGTACAAAATTGAACACCGGTGCCAGCACTTCGTATATTTCAGAGAGACCGCAAGTTGCTGTCTACTTTTTTTTATAAATATTATACACTGGCCATCGAAGGACCAGACTCCTTTTGGAAGGACATTTTTGGCGCCCCCGGGTGGACACTCTCTGGAATTGAAGGAAGCTGGATTATGGATTTTGTGGATAATCAGGGAAGTACATAAATACATAGAGCACATAGATGACCAAGTAATGCAAGCCATAAATAAATAAATGCATTACTTGAGACATACAAAATATTAATGTATGTACAATCTACGCCTATGTACATTGTGTTGAGCTTATTTCAAATTGAAATTTAAAAAAAAAAATAAATAAAAATAATAATAAGGTGCATATTGACCTTTGATCTGCAAATAATTCAATCTCTATTGCCTCGCATAATCCAAGTTTTCTTTGGCGCCGCTAGTGTGTTACAGTTTTTTTGCTCATTTTCGTCTCGCACTTTCGTTTTGCGCTTGCGCTCACAGCTTGCACAGATAATTGCGCTCTTAATTTACGCTCTTCATTTGCATGCGCGCTTGCAATATCGTTTGCACTCGCGCTTGCACTTATAGTTGCGCTCTCGTTTTACTGTCTCGCTTGCACATATTAGTGCGCGCTCACTTTGCGCTCAGTGCATACTCACTTGCTATATCGTTTGCACTCGCGCTTACACAGCAAATTTCGCTTTAATTTACGCTCATCATTTGCATGCGCGCTTGCAATATCGTTTGCACTCGCGCTTGCACTTATAGTTGCGCTCTCGTTTTACTGTCTCGCTTGCACATATTAGTGCGCGCTCACTTTGCGCTCATTGCATACTCACTTGCAATATCGTTTGCACCCACGCTTGCACACGCAGCAGCGCTCTCGCTTTGCGCTCAAAACGTGCGCTCGTCACTTGGATATATTTTCGCTCAAAACTTGCACTCTCGCTTTGCGCTCATTGTATGAGCTCGATCTGCAATTATATTTTTGGCATTCATACCGGCGCGCTCTCGCTTATGAATGCATTGCACTCAGTCGCTCAACAGTCAAATATAACTCAATAGACCACTTGCCCAAATAGTCACTCAACATTTTGGTTGTTGTCTTCGCTATATCGTAACAGTCACTCAAGTATAGTTTAACACTGCCAGCGTAATATATTGAGATTTATTACGATCGCGCGCATTTGTTAACATTCTTGAATTGCTCTTCGCTTGTTGTCATACATTAAGTGAACTTTTATTTGTTTCGATTGAAATTGGTTTCAACTGAGCATCACTTATAGCATCATGACTAACAAGCGAGGAAAGAATAGGTCTATGGACGAGTCATCATCAGAGCGTGTCGAAGCTCTGTTGGCCGTTTACAAAAATGTTACAAACGACATAACACGCATTAATAAATCATTAAAAGATTACACTAAACCAGTAGAGCCATTTGAAATTGAATGTCGACTTGAGATATTGAACCGCTACATAGAAAAGGCCTTTAAGACACAACAAGAGTTGGACGACATTAACGCAGATTTAGTGCCTCGGTCAACGTTAGAAGATTTGTGTGTATCGACAAAGGCACTTCTTATGAAGCGAGGTAGTGATAGCCAACCTAAAAGTGAGAGTCCCGCTAACTCTACAATGATTAGCTCAGTGTCACATTCTAGGAATCTACCGAATATAAAGCTGCCAAAGTTTAGCGGAGAATATTCGGAATATAAGAATTTCATTGGACTTTTTGAGAGTTTAGTCGACAACGAGCCAGGGTTATCAAATATAGAAAAGTTTAACCACTTGTTGTCATGCTTGGACAAAGAAGCATTAGGCACTGTCAAGGCATATCAGGTGACAGATGCAAATTATCCAAAAGCGTTAGCTGCTTTAAAAAATGTGTACGACAATCAGTGTCTCATATTTTTTAACAGCATTTCAAAACTATTTGATCTCCCACACATGTCCGAACCGTCAGCATCATCTTTGCGCATGCTGATAGACTCAGTCCGTGCCATTTACGAATCTCTTTTATCGCTAGGATCTGATAAGCAGATTTCGAATGCCATGCTCATCCATTTGGTAATGATGAAAGTGGACGCTGGCACGCGCTCTAGGTGGGAAGAGAATCTTGACTACAATAAGCTTCCATTGTGGCAAGATTGTGAAGCTGCCTTGAACAGACGGTATCAGCATTTAAGTGCTGAAGACTCATCTGGTCCACGTCGTAAGGTAGCTCAGGATAATAAGAAAAGAATTGGGAAAACTTCTCTAGCTGTCGCTCTGCCAAGTGAGCCGCAGAGTCCCAAATGCGTGTTTTGTAAAAAGAACGATCACTTCATTCACTCGTGCTCGTCGTTCGCAGCAATACCTTGCCAGAAACGTTTTACGTTCGCAAAGAGCTATCCGCTCTGTATAAATTGTTTGCGAACAGGACACTCAGTGGCTGCTTGCAAATCAGCCCACTGTCGTGTGCTCTAAGCCGCACCATACCATACTGCATAGATACAGCTCTGAAGCGGCTCAAAGTAGCTCAGCAGTTGTATCAGCAGTCCCTCGTGTCACTTCGTCACAGATTTCATCTGTAAATCACGCACGGATAGCCTCTGATCAAGTTCTTTTGGCAACTGCAGTTGTGAAGATAAAAGATCAATCTGGATCTTATCACTTAGCTAGAGCTTTATTAGATTCCGGCTCGCAAGTAAATTTCATAACTGAAGAACTGGCAAAACAGTTGAAATTAAAACGGCAAAGATCTGGGATTCAATTGTTGGGCATTGCTAATTGTCAGTCATCTGTTCGGCACAGCGTTCAAACTTCGATAGCGTCCCGAACGGACGACATAGAAATCCGAACAGACTTTGGTGTGTTACGTTCCATTTCGTCGTATCAACCAGAGAAGCACACTGAAGAGATCAAGGTACCTGATAATGTACAATTAGCTGATCCTCAATTCCACAAGCCGCAACGTATTGATTTGTTGCTCGGTGCTGATATCTTTTTGATATATATTAAGAGAAGGCAAAATAAAAGGATCCGATAACAACCCAACATTGCAATTGACTGCCTTTGGTTGGATTGTATCTGGTCGCTGCCGAACATTGAATGCAGCTACTAGTTCGTCGACTTTCATTAGCGTCGTAAACGACGACATAGCTATAGATTCAATAGTTCGCAAGTTCTGGGAGTTGGAAGAAAAGCCAAATACAATTAATTCGAATTTGTATACCCCAGAGCAACAACTGTGCGAGAAGTCATTTGTGGAGACTATTGGCCAAACTACCTCGGGTCGTTTCAGAGTGTCGCTGCCATTCAAATCAAGCCCACATTGTCTTGGTACGTCTTACGACACAGCCAAGCGACGATTTCTGGCCTTGGAAAGAAGAATGAGCAAGCAAGAAGACATTCGGCCAATGTATATTGACTTTATGAAAGAATACTTGGCCTTGGGTCACATGAGCCCAACTAACAATCAAATTCCGAGAGAGCCGCATTATTTCATCCCATATCAATGCGTGCTAAGACCGCACAGCGCATCCACTAAACTTCGAGTAGTGTTTGATGCCTCTAGCAAGTCCTCCTCTCAATTGTCGCTGAATGATCTACTCATGGTGGGTCCGACCATCCAGCCGCAGTTATGGGAGACTTTGCTAAGATTTCGACTTCGTCCTTGGGCTGCTACAGCAGACATCGCTAAAATGTACCGTCAAATTGAACTTGACGAGTCCCACCGCAACTTTCAACTTATTGTGTGGAGGGAAACGCCCACTGATCCGTTACAAATCTTTCGATTAAACACAGTAACGTACGGGACAGCGACTGCTCCATTCTTAGCAATTCGATGTTTAAAACATCTAAGCGACTTGCATGCTTCCACTCATCCAGCTGCTGCAAGATCGTTAGCCCGAGATTTCTATGTTGATGACCTGTTGACAGGAGCAGATAGCGTCGAAGAATTGTGCTTGTTGCATCGAGACTTGATCGCAATTCTTCAAAAGTTTGGATTTCCTCTCACAAAATGGTCGTCCAATTGTAAACAACTCGCAGCACAACCAGCTAGAAACGATATAGTTATTGGTCATCAAGAGGACACAAAAACATTGGGATTAATTTGGAATCCAATGAATGACAGCTTTAGATATTCCATGAACTGTCCAGTAGAAGTTCAACAGACCAAAAGATCCGTTTTGTCATTTGTAGCAAGGTTATACGACCCCTTAGGTTTGTTAAGTCCGATCGTAACTCGTGCGAAGGTCCTTTTACAGGAAATGTGGTTGCACAAACTTGGGTGGGATGACCAATTGCCTGTTCAAATGAGGCAAGAATTTGAGGC